GTCAGGTCACATGCTTTTGACGATATGCATCTCTTTCGATCTAAGCCTCATCAGAGTTATCGGAGTCAGCCCCACGATCGTAAACGTGGTGTGATGTATGACTATACGTTTTCTTTTTCGATTAGTGTGCCTCATTTCCTCATCTCGCTTAGGAAGGAAATATAACCGTATACCCTGTTTAAGCTTAGTGTGCATCGTTTCCTTTGGCAATAGAGACGAGAAAATATCACCATAATCTTCTCCTTCGAAGCTAATGCGGCCCTTTTATTCCCTTGTCTGCGTAAGAATTACTACGTCCCCGCAATAGTTAATTAGATTCTGTCCCTGAGTAAGCAGATAGGGTTCCTCTATTTCTAGTGGGTGAGAGTATTCGAAAACGTAGCCCTTAGAAAGTAGTTCCCGGAGGGGTTCAGTCACCTTCCTCATATAAAAGGAGATTATTTCTCCAGCCATATAGACTATTAATTGTAGCGACATTCTTCTAAAGTATAACTTCTTCCACCAAATACTAATATTGAGAGGGGTGCAAATATGCCAGTTTCTTATCATCGGTTTGCCACGTCTACCAGGGGTCGCTTCCCACCGCTACGACGCATTGACATAGTATCCAACGAGAAAAATAATGTCTCTTCTACCGAAACTACCGCTCATGCGACAATGGGCCTATCGAGCTTTACCTCAACCCCATCTTCTTTGTTAGACAAATACTATGGCAGTCCGGTCGACCACAGAGATTGGCACAACGCTCTTGAAGTCGTTCAAAACTGCAAACCAATACACCCGGTACTTCTCATTCATCGAAACAAAGCGGCAGAGGCAGCAAAGGAATTTAAGACACTGTTTCCAGGCCAATCGATATACGCAGTGAAAGCGAACGACTGCCCTGGTTTACTACAGCTACTCTACGACAGCGGTATCACGTGGTTCGAAGGTGCTTCTATCAACGAAGTAAAATACGTCAAGAGCCTTCTACCGGAATCTACCTTATGTTTCATGAACCCGGTGAAACCTCAAGAAGCTATTCGGGAGGCCTACTCTTACGGCGTCCGAGTGTTTAGTCTCGATTCCTCGAAAGAATTAGACAAGATTGTGGAGTCTACCTCTTCAGGTTCTCAGCAAGCAACAGATCTAACTTTATGCGTCCGTATCAAGGTACAATCACGACACGCTAAGTTAGACCTTGGGTCAAAGTTTGGGGCTGGGCAAGATGCTATAGCTTTACTACAAGAGGTAAGACGAGTGACTCCGCAGGTGGGAGTATCTTTCCACGTGGGAAGCCAGGCAATGTCACCCAAAGACTATCAAGACGCAATACATCAGGTCTCTACTCTAGTGATAGACGCTGGAGTTAATCTCAGGTTCCTTGATTTCGGCGGTGGATGGGCTGTCAAATATCCTGGAATGTTACCCCCTCCTCTTTCAGATTATACCAAATCGATCTATCATACCTTTTGCAACCTACCATTCGGACCTACTACCCACCTTTGGGCGGAGCCAGGCCGGTGGCTTTCCGCGAGGTATCATTCAGTCATCGTTCGGGTCGAGGAGCGGCGTGGGCTACACCTATACCTTAATACCGGCCCCTATGGGATCCTCTACGATGCTGCACAACTTAAATGGCGCTACTCCGTCAAGCTACTTCGCGACTCACCTCCAGACCAACCAAATATACCATTCACATTCTATGGGCCGACTTCTGATAATGACTATATGCCAGGACCCTTTTATCTACCTGCTGATACTACATATGGCGACTATATTGAGATAGAAGGAGTCGGCGCCTACGGCTGGGTTATGCGATCCTCGTTTAACCGTTTTACCACATTCGAGATCAAGAAAGTACAAGACTAGTTCTCACGCAGGTCGAAGTTGGAAAGGAATTTGTAGGCTGTTATAAGCCACATCCGCAAGCTGGGCATACCTATTGGCAACTCAGTAGAGAACGAAGAAGGTGTCCGACAACAATGAGAAATAGGGAATACTTATAATGAAAAACTTCATTTGCACTCTCTTACGACAGTTGGTCGTATAGGTCCAGTAGAATGTGAAGTATCTGATTGAAAACTGCCATGCTGTATCCCAGCTCTGATATAATTGGATGATATGTAGCGCATTGTCCTCGGTCTAGCTCTGCCTAAAGCTGGATTATATGATCATGAGGTAGACTAGGAAAAGTATAATCAATCGCTTTCGTAAATTCCGAAAGGGGCGCTATATCCATACTAGGATATATGATAGGAAACCCACCACCATCAACGATGTCGATTTCGGCTCACGCGTCCATCGCTAAAGTAAAGATTTGATGTAATGCGTCTTGATACTGTAAGGGTCTAAGCCTATGACCCCTCAATGGCAAAATTTAGACGGAAGCGGCGCCACTGGAGCTGTAAGAGGGAGTCCCTCAGTTAGATAGTTAGATCGAGAAAGTAGCGATCGGTATAATGGTGTAGGAATGAAAGAGTAACTATGTCCATTTAATAGCGACGAAATGACGACTGTCGCCTTTCGTTATACATTCCGGGTTCGCTTCTGCCTTGAATTCCGTCAGACGGTGATTTATTTACAAAGTAAGTAATAATAGCATTGTTTATTTCTAGCTTATTGCTTATGAATAACCTTATTCTATTATTAATATCAATGTTTAGCTAAAATAGTGCTGCACCTACGAAAGTCAGCTACTCACAGATTGTATTAATAGGTGCCATTTTCCCGGTTGTTAATCTTGATCCCCTTATAACGAATACAGGAACATATTTTATTAGGGCCTCCAGATAAACTAGCTATGCATAGAGACACTCAAACAAACGCAAACTGGAACGAAGTGAATCATATCAACAGACTAGCAATACAGTCAGCTAAAGCCGGTTATTAGAGATTGCTAAGAGACTATTTCGAAGAATTCTCCGATTTGACAGCTTTATCGAAGACAGGTTTAGGGAGATAGCTATGAACAATCCAGCTACAGTACTCGGTAAACAAAAGAAGCATACAGAAGCAGAAGCATTACACCGAAATGAGCTACAGCTATGCCTAACAGTATTAGGCGTAAAACATCCGGATACTTAGACTAGTATAACAAACCTCGCGATAGTATTACTTAATCAACGTAAGTTCTTCGAAGCTGAGGAACTACTTCGACACGTACTAGGCCTAAAGGAAAAGATCTTAGGGAGAGAGAACATTTCAACGGTCAAGAGTGTGGTATGCTTAGCGTGTAAATTAGATACACAACGTAAAGTCGTGCAAGCAGCAATTCTATTTGACCGTAACATCGTATAAACGGATTTTCGGACCGGAACATACTATCACCACCACTTGTCAGCAACGCTATTCCCAAGTGGCACTTAGACGAGCAGAAATCTATTCATCACACTCATCTATGGACAACAACATTGATCGTCGTGCAAGGCAAGAAGAAAAAGAGGAAATTTAAGATAAGCGTTAAATATACGTGCAACGCAATTTCGATACTGTAGCTTCTTTAGAGGGCGGGTGTATATCAAGCTCCCCTCTTTAAGCGAAAAGGAAAGTAAAGAATAAAATGATTCGAAGTTTAATCCGAATATGCTTACCAATATCCACCATATATAATGTGTTCTGCTTTCTCAGTCTTTCGACGGCTATCTTCAACGCATATTCATACTGCTGGGAGAGGAATAAGGTGTATTTGTCGGAGAATTGCTTCCAAGAGCCCGGGTTTTCAACTCCTTATCCTCCTGGACCAGTGCACAGCAATAGCAGCAGCAGGACGTACAGAGATCGGAGAACCAGTTTCCTTTGATACCGTACTTCGCACGTATCTTGCCCCTATAAATGCACTGGAGAAGGCGGTTGCCGCCAAAGCCCATCAAAAGGCTGTATGCAGAGAACTGGTCGTAATATCAATTCGGTATGAGATTAGCTAGCGTATACTCAAGAAAATAAAAGTTCCCATACCATCCAAATCCTATTGCAGCATGCGTCGTCGCTCTCACGCGTGTGCGTCTTTGTAAATAGGATACATGGACAACATAATGCCATACAACCTATTCAGAGAATTAGATGCGGACGGTAAAAGGGGCCCAGTTTGTACTTACAAGTTTCCAACGGCGAACAACACTCAAAAAGTCCAGAGGACCATGTTCCCTCGACTACGCCGGAGGCGGACCGAGTCTCAGTAGGAGGATTTGGTTTCATAGTGCGTAGCTGTAATGGTCGCTGTGGGTGAGAACTGACAAGATGGACGAGACGGTAGCTACTTAAATCGGAGCAAGGACGAGCAGACATAGTAAGCTTGGGAGTGACACTGGGCGATCCCATGTTAGAATGAACTATTACCTCAGCACCCAAGTCCGGGAATCAATCCGAGCGTTATCTAGCGTGGAGCTTCGCAATACGAGAGAGAGTTCGTAAGCCTCAACGCTATGTGAAGTGGTATATTATCCACTTCCGACATATGCCTCGCCTCTTGTCCCCTTAGAGAGTTCTGACGTCCAAGCAAGGGAAAAGTCAAAACCCGATGAACCAACAAAATCCGTCTGCTCGCGCAATAGTCGTTACAGTCACCCAATATTACCCCGAACAGTTACACAGCCCCTCCGTAGGTCCACGCCAGTCATTTGGACCAAGGCTATCAGATTGAGGCCAAGCACCCCTAATCGTTACATCGTCCTTTGACCGAAGGACCCACTGCTTCGAAAAGTCCATCTAAGCATATCCACGCTCTCAGTATCTTCCTATCAGAAGCTATGGAGAGAATCCACCAGCCGGAGTATCGGCCAGTCTGTGCTCAGCCGACTTCGCACTAGTACGAAACGTCTAGGAATTTGCGTCAGGAGTCTGTCGGCAGATGTTCTTCCTTATCGATAACCTTACAGCCTTCCCCTTAACTCCCTCCATTCTTGATCTCGCAACTCATGTCTCGAGGATATATCTACGTCTGACACCCACACCCACCGTTGGCTCTCATTACACGTTTATCAGCGCTGCCCCGTCATTCCCATCGACATATCATCCCGAAGATGAAACGGTATAACGGCAAAGAATTGTCCTATGGCCCGCACAGCCTAAGAAGATCGAAGCGTTTCTGCAACCATACAAGCGATAAGACAAGTGCCTACTTCCGATTTCTGGACCTCTCCCCAAAGATCAGATGTTTGTGCTACGAGAAGATCTGTACAAACACCATCGAAACCGTGAGATTCTTCCTTGCTGTTCACGAATACAGCAGAGAGAGTGATTTTTTCGATCAATGGGCTCAAAGGGAACTCCTGCTACTCACATTCTCTTCACTTGATGATGCCGAAGGCTTGTTGCCCAGTTCACAAATCGCGATTTCCGACCAGGAACGAACCATGACAAAGTCGCACAGCAGGGCTTCCTCACAGCAGCTTACCGAGGTTCCACTGGCTTACAATATCTGGAAATATGGTCATATTGCCATCACAATGCAGCCATCGAGAGCTGAACACCCTTATTTCGGTGTAGTGCAGACGAAATTGCTCCCAGAATTATCCGAGGACTGGTGGTTGGCATCAGCTAGTCGGGTGGTCGTGCAGCCCCATAAGAATCTGGACATACTTTCTGCGACAAAGGACAGCTTTCGAAAATTGAAGCCGAAGTACGACTGTAAGATGCTAAGCATTCAGGGCTTTGATGACTACGGCGATCTAAAGAACCAGGAGAAATTGTGCACCTTGGAAGAATGCGATGATTTTGACTTCCACCGAAATTTGTTGAATCCTGGGGAGATCTTGAAGCTGCTGAACCAACTTATCCTTCGACTTTCTGGCGTTCAGCATACGGAGCGGAAAATCAAACAAGCAATCCAATTCATCGGTGCAGTTAAGGTTAACTGGGCTCACAGCAAATATCGTTTTGACCTTCCGGCAGACCTTGACGCTCAAGCACAGTTTTTGCGTCGTGTTTCTGAGTGCGAAGCACAGTTGCAAGCATTGCTCAGTTCGAGGGGGATAGTAGACTTGAATACGAAAGATCGACACGGGCGCAAAAGAGGGATAACAGTATAGCTTGGAGTATGTGATGTACAGTATTTCGAATTTTAATGCTTGAAATTATAATAAACTATTGGGGTACTCACGTAAGGAGCAACGTTTTAGATCTCGCAATATGTAGGCAAAACTGGTTGTGCCAAAAGAGGCCTAAATAATCTCGATCCGAGGCCGCAATTGTAGACATCTATAGCATAACACACAGATAGTCCGAAGATCTCAGATAGTACAAGCCACTCCTTCCGTGGTACTCTCCTGTAGACACTGAGTAATAGTGTATAACACTGTCCTATCTATTGAAGTGGGGGTAAAAACTCTTAAGAGGCTATAGTCCATCTGCAGCTAACAACAAGCGAGCTATAACAATGCGAAAGAACTCAGATATTTTGTTCAAATCTACCACTAACCAAAGGAAGTCTATAACCACCCTAAGCACCGTCCTTGTCGTCGAGGTTAGAGCCCATAACTCGTCTTTTATATACGTTAAAGCCTGTCCACTTGTCCAGGGCGCCCGTTGTGATCGCAGCGTAAGTATCGAGTCCGCCAAGATAACTCAACTGCTCTCTATGCTTCCCCGGCACATTGGCACCCATATACCAACTATTTGTTTCGGGATATAACGTTTGATTACTCAAATCCTGAATGTGTTTCCTCCATAATTCTGCTGCGTTCTGCTGTGCGTCTATATATGCAATACCTTCGTCGCGCATCTTCTTAACCGCCGCAGCAACCCAGTCAACCTGTGTTTCCACGACGGGCGGAGCATTAGAGAAGGAAATAGGTGACTGAGGCCCGTAGATCATGAACATATTCGGGAATCCGTTGACGGTGAGGCCGAGGTATGTATACGTGCCTTTCGCCCATTTATCCCTTAAACGCTCGCCGTTGATGTCGGTAAGGTCCATTTCATTTAACGAACCAGTAACACTATCATAGCCTGTGGCAAGAATAATGACGTCGTATGGCTCATGTCGGTCAGAGAGTGCGATGCCCGTTTCCGTGAACTCCTTGATTGAGTGTGCGTTAAGGTCGATAATTGTGACGTTATCCTGGTCCATACATTCGTAGTAATTGTCTTCAAGTGATGGTCTTTTTGTGCCAAAGTAATAACTTTGCTTCAAAGGCGCTAGGATGTCTCGCTTGACTGGGTTGTTAATCCGGGGGCGCACTTTCTTCGCCCAAAACTCATACATCGATTGGTTGGCACGCTTGTCCGTGAGAATCTCCGGGAAGTTAGAAACCAACAAGTGAATTCCGCCCCGCTCCCATAATTCTTCAAAGAGAGATTCGCGGTCTTCTGGTGACACATCCCAAAAGCTATGTTGAGCTGGATCGTAAGGAAAGCCGGATTTCGTCCGTTTGGCGCGATCATACAACGAGCTGTAGGCGCGGCGGTCTCGGTCCTGTTCATCTTTGCTCATTTGCCTTTGTTTCATTGGCAGGCCGATACTAGGTGTTCTGATATAGGCATGGACCTCACAGTTTTCCTGGGCTAGGGCCTGGGTGATCTGTACTCCGGTCGCTCCAGACCCAATACAAGCGATCTTCTTCCCTGTCACGTCAATATCAGGGCACCTTGCAGAGTGAAAGAGCTCTCCTTGGTACTTCGCCATATTCTTAAATGCTGGCACATGCATTTTGTAAGTGGACCCAACCGCCATGATAAGGTACTTGCATTTGGCCACGACACCAGCATCAGTCTGCACTGACCATATTGCATGAGTGGTGTCGAACTTTGCTCCCGTCACCACCGTGTTAAAGTGTGCGTCTTTGGCGAGGTCGAGGGTCTTGTCGACATGGGCAAAGTACTTCTTAAGCTCCACATGGTCGGGAAAGCGTTCTTTGTAGGACCAGGTCTGGTAGACTTCTGGAATTGACAACCCATAGTAAGGTGTCTCGGAGTCAACGCGAGCGCCTGGATACTTGTTCCAGTACCATGCTCCCCCAAAGTAAGAACCTGCCTCGAAGAGCTTAACGCTCAAGTGAAGTTCTCGGAACTTCCACATTGAGTACATGCCACTCATGCCGCCGCCGACGATCAAGACGTCGACTTCTAGAGCGTCATTATATTGTATATGGTTTCTCTGATCTAGACGAGAGGAGTCGTTTGTGGTGTCTGCCATTATCGGTTCGCGCTGGCTCCAGCGTTGGATAGGATGACAATGATAGTAAAATAAAATAACGATCTAGTTCGTAGTTATGACAGTAAGTTTTTATAGTTAACCAGTACTCTTAGTGGACGAAGTTCATAACTATATCAGTATCAATTATATATGTACCCTTTTTGCAAATCGTAGGAGTTCGGTAGCGATAATCTGACAGTGGGGCGTCGGCGACACTATGCTAATCCTGTCAGAGGGACTAGGAAAAAATTTGGCGATTTTATTATGGTCAATGGATGGGTGGATCGATAAACGTACATAGTGTGCGCCACCCAGATGAGGGTCGGGAATAACAGGCCTTAGGATGCTCTTTAACCTATTTCTCCGTTAGCCAATGACTAATCCGTGATCTCCCCAGACCTAGACTAGATCAGGGTCACCGAGCATCTTCATAAAGCCTGTAGACCGTGTCAGCTTGTGTTAGCGGCGGTTGAGCGGAATCGAGGCTAAAGACGGGCCCAGGCAGCTTTCAGCGCCCAGCTGTCAGATCACCCTTCCTCTAATCGACACATCTTCTGAGTGACCGAGCTAGAGGTTGACTCCCTCTCAAGAGATTTAAAGCCTAAAAGTATAAGTAGGTGTGTAGTCACCTAGCTCTTATGAACAAATCATTTCCACAACGGCCAGACGGTCTATCCTGTTCTACCTTATCTTATCCTCTCTTAACCTAGCCTTCGTAGACTTTAGAAGGTTTCAGAACTCTATAGACTCAGTCATTAATCTTAAAAACAATGACAGAATCAGCCATTCCAGACCACCTAACCACCTCCCGGGTTTTCCCTTCGACACTGAACCCAGGATACAAGCCGCCGTATCCCACTTACACCTCCCGATTTCCGCAGGACCAACAAGAAATTGTCAAAATGATTCTAGGTTCGCAACATGAGGACGTACGCGAGACTACGTCTCCTCTGACAAGAGGCACGACAAGCCCTGCGGCTCAATCGGCGCTCCGGCGCATGATCAGTTTCGTCACCCAGACCCCAGAAGTATCAAAGCCCAAATTTTATCAATTAGCCTGTCAACACGAGGCCATCCGAGGTTACGAACAGTGTCTCATCGCATATTGGGATGATAAAGCTACGTATTACGAGTGGAAGATCGCCAGCGGATTCGAGGCATGGTGGAATAGCCTTGACCCTACGCTCGAAAAGCATGGATGGTTTCTGGAAGTGTTCGTACCCACGATGGAGAGGTTCGAGAACGCTTTCACGAGTCGCACAGAGCCAGAAGGAGCGGCACATCTACAAAAAGTTATGAGCGGTGCCATCCAAGAGCATAGTTATTGGGGAAGCATGCGGGACCGTCTGCCCATTTCGGCAACAGATCTTTTGCACGGTGACAAAATCACCGGTGACACCACAACTGTGGCCGACTCCAGGATGCGTCGTATCCGAGTTCAGGGCCGAAAGAACCTAGCGGTCATTCGTTCAGGCCAAAATTGGTCCTCTGCCTCTAATAACGAGCGAAAGCTCTACCTCGACAAGCTGTATCCAGCGCTGGTGGCAGGTATGCAATTCCTTCATGGCGAAGAAGGGTTAGAGGAGGGCTGTATTAGCCTCCGCTTTATGTACGAACTGGACAAAGAGACTTTGAAGCCGGTTACAACAAAGACATTTGGTCTGGCTTTCTTTGATGAGCTCAGGTCACTCGAACGATGGAGCAAGAATCATCAAACGCATAAACGTATCTACGGTGAATTCTCCCGCTGCGCGAGCGAACTACAGGACACCTCGCTGGAGTTTTTCCACGAAGTGTTTGTCCTGGAAGGCCAGCTCTCCGAGTACATTAGTTGTCATTCTAAGACTGGGATGCTTCGGTCGTTGTGAATAAAGAATTACCTTAATTAGAGGAATTACAAGCACATGGGCAAAATTACTATATTCCTCATTCATGATATTAGGCTAGACCTTCGTTATCTCTGCTCGGAGTTGAATTTTGCAGTGCTAAAGCATATGCTAATATTTCAGCCAACATCTAGGAATCTAGACACCGAGAAATTTGAGACGCACTTGGGCAGAGATAATCTGCGCCTATTTCCAGTCCGCCTCCACTATCGTGATGAGTAAGTAGGGAGTCCACTGCAATGACATAAGGCCCAGGTTACACTTCCGACGGACGCCGTTAGGGAAGATGTTGCGGATGCTGGCGGTATAAGAAGCGTAGTACACTCGGTGTACTATGAGTTTATATAACATACACATGTGTCCTACCACCGTCCTTGTCAAAGTTTCACTTAAGGTGTCCGGAAGGAGTACACGTGTTTTCACATCCTCATTTACATTTGCAACCTCTCCAGAAATTGCATTATGAACGGACAGCGTCAGGCCCATAGCAACTGGGCACCAAACCGGCTGGAACTAGTAACGATGGTCGTTTTGACTGTCGTATCTTTCATGGCCGCTCTGGATTCGACCATTCTTGTGACAATACTACCAGTGAGTCTTAGGGAGTGTCTTTGGAGTTGGCTAATAGAACATCAGAACATCTCGTCTAAGCTGCGAGGATCCTCCGTAGACGCCTTCTGGACAGGAACATCTTACTTACTCACATCTGCCATAAGCCAGCCGGTTATCATGATGTTCTCAGAGGTGTTTGGCCGCCGAATGGTGGTATTGTGCTCTATCGGTCTCTTTGCTATTTCATCTGTCATATGCGCCACAGCTCCGAACTTCACTGTCTTACTCACTGGTCGCTTTCTCCAAGGTGTCGGTGGTGGTGGTATAATCTGTCAGGTTCAAGCAGTCTTTACTGACATTGTGCCTGTCGAGCATCGACCGAGATGGTTTACCCTGGTCCTCATGGCTTGGGCGATTGGCACTATCTTTGGTCCGTTCATAGGAAGTGGCTTGAACCAGATTGCTTCTTTTCGATGGGCTTTTTGGGTAAACCTACCTTTCTGCGGCATCGGTATCGTGGCCTCACCTTTTCTCTTGAAAAGTGCAAGTTATGCGGAACCCTGGATCAGCAAAGTCAAAAAAATCGATTGGCCTGGAGCTATTTTATTCTCATCGAGTATGGCGAGCTTCTTATTATCGATTTCGTGGGGAGGTGTACAATATCCCTGGGGACGCTACGAAGTTTTACTTCCTCTTTTCTGCGGCCTTCTTGGATTTCTGGCCACTATTACCTGGGAGAGACGGTTTTCACCTCGACCCCTTATTCGGCGATCCATACTACGCTCAGCGCCTCTAAAGGTGTCATACATTGGGGCATTCTTACAAGGTTTAATTGTTAGGAATTATTACGAATTATGCGAAGGAAAATACTAATATGACCTTCAGCTATTCTCTGTCCTCTACTACATCCCGTTCTTCTTTTCCGCCATTCACCTTACGTCTCCAGTCGTCTCAGCATTATACCTCCTTCCGCTCTCCTGCTCTACCCTTCCAGCATCGATTCTTACTGCTTTTGGCCTAAGGCAAAAGCTGACCTTCCAGACTGCGACCAAGCTAGGATGGCTAATAACATTTATTGGTTCTTGTCATTTCATCCTCTTGGGGAAACGCACTGCTATAGCTAAATGGATCATCGATGCCTCCATGATGGGAATTGGGAACGGTATCCTGTTACCCTCCATAAATTACGGTATTCAGGTGATGGTAAACCCGGAGGACTCAGGTCTCGCCATCAGACAATCGGAGGACGCAAAGTCGGACGCGAGTCTCAGTGCTACAACTTACACCTCAATCAGAAGTCTCGGAATGTCTGTCGGCCTTGCGTTGGGGGGAGCTTTATTCGAAAACTTCATGGCTCGAAGCCTTCGGGAGAATGGCATTACTCTACAAGTTGCTCGAAACGCCGAGGGCTATATTTCGATATTGAAAAATATGGACCCGACAGACCAGAATACGGTGAACATTGTCGATGGCTTCATGAGCGGCTTCAAAGCCGTTTTCGTGATGAACACCGTAATATCAGGTATAGGATTAATGGTATTCCTCTTATTTTTGAGGAATGAAAGGCACGAAGGCAGCAACGGCCAAAATCAATGTCGCCAACAAGCGCTTTCAACTCTACTTGTGGAGGGGCCCCGGGTCCCGTTGAAAGTACATACAACCTAAAATCCCCTCGAATAAATACTAGTTATTTATTATCATTTTCCCTTTGTCACCCTCCTATACTGTACACACTCAAGGAGTCATATCTTAGTCCTATAACACTTTTATAGTTCAGCAATAATATTTCGGAAATACCACTTGATGCCCACCTTTTGTTTTTGGAATCTACAGTGTTCCCAAGCGAACCTTTTCCTCTTTAATACTAGCTTTAGAATTCTTATCTAGCGACCTTAAGTGAGCATTTTCGGCCATGTTTATAGGACACCTAGCAATTAGGAGAGAGGAATTTCTTGGGCTTCAGGAAATACTTAGACATAGCTTACAGATATATCGCTCTTTATAAGCTATTAACCCTATCGCTTCCGGAAGTCAACAGTAAAGGTCGACCTTCTACTATCTTATTATGAATTCAGTGGCATCACTCCGATTCACTCGTAGAATTGTTTACAAGTACTATTGTTATCCGCTAAAAAGTATAGTAAATACCTTAGCTGAACTTTTTATCGAACCATGACGAAGTCAGTAAAACAGAAAGTCCCGCCACTTGGGTCTCGATTGACCGCTCTTGCGTCTTTATATTACCATCTGTAGAATTTAACCCCCAGTACCCCCCAAACTTTCCCGATGGGTCAATAGTCCCGTACGCAGCAGCCGCATTTCCATTAATCCACGAGCGGTAACTCGAGCAACGTTTGCGGTGCGAGGCCTGGACCTCTTCATTCGACCATTTGATTGGCTCGCAGTAGTTTTTGATATCGAGAAACGGCAGACCCTTAAAAATTTGCATGTCTTGAGTGCAATTACCGAACCTGTCGCAGATATCCTCAAGGATACCGTTCGATCCTAGCCTACCATTATGGGTTGAGCTGATCAGGTTCTGTATCGCTTGATGACCCCGGTTAATAAGATTTGAGTCACCGGTGGCTAGGGATAAGTAGCGTAGAGCTCGTATACCAGCAACCTGGTTATAAGTGTAGAGAGTCTTGACACTCGCGTCACAGAGCAATTTAGGACGTTCGCCAGGAGTGTTTTGTATAAATCGAAGCCGCTGTCCATCTATATATAGGGATTCGTTCGTAAGAAGCTGTGCTTGCTCCATCCACTGAAGACCTCTAGTAGCTTTATGTATAAGGTCTATATCAGTAAAGTTGAAGTACTGGAATTGGCGTCGCGGCCAACCAAAGACTGGCCGAATCAGCTTCAAAAAAGATCTTAAATAGTGTATGCTCACTTCCGTTATCTCATAAGGTCGGGGCTGGCCAGAAGAAGCATTATATATTTGGGCGTTGTTGGAGTTATAAAGATGATTAGTTATGGTGTTCTTATATATTCCTTTGAAGTCAAGTAAAGGCCATAGGGAAAGTCTTCGCGCCCGAACTTTCCATTCCGTACCTCCTCCACAGAGTTCTAGGCTCCAAGAGTCTTCCATTACGTCGTGGAGGAAGGCGGCGCGAAACGCGATACGTTTTCGTAGGATAGGAAGGCGTTCGATAACATTTGACTCCGGATATCTCTCTTCATACTGGTATGAGTATCGGAGGATCTCAAGGAGGCAAAAGGTAGTCCACCCAAAATCGTCATAGCCTTGTGTAAGGTATTGAAGAAGTGTCCATTGATTTAATGAACGTGAGACTATCTTAATAAAGATATCGTCGACTTTATTACGATGGTCGGTGTGCTCTAAAAAGGTGAGATAATTCACCATAAGATTAGACGCGGTATCGCCAGTCCAACTACTCGCTCCTTTCCAGTTGCTATCTTTCCAGTATTTTTGTACGAAATCATCAAACAGAATATGTATGTTCGGATTAGAGGCAGACTGTGTGCTTAAGACTGATCGTAGACAAAAGAACCAGATGGTAAAAACAGCTAAAAGAGCCATTATATTGGAGGAGGTGTTAAAGTATTAGGCTACTCTATATCTGCTGAGTAGGGGTATTATGAGCTCAGAATTAAATCGCCCAATTGATTAGACGTCGCTAAATATTGAGCTACTGATCATTACATGTACCGCAGTACGTTAAGTATATAAAATACTAAATTAGAATTAAGTTTATGTAAGTCTAGGATAGTAAACGATTCTGAACGGATTTCCCACGAATGGATGGTTAAGAATACATCGCGGGGTTTTTCCGACTCCGTCTTACTACTGAAACGTGAAATCCATTTCAACGGTCCTCCTCCACCGCGTTCGATGCCACACTTTATACGTAGCATAAAGACTTAGTACGACCGGAATATAGAGGTAGGACACAAAGGAGATGCCAATTATTTCCACCGACAGTACCTCCAGATATCCTGTCAGCCCGAACCCAGTCCATAGTTGGCAAAATATCACCGTAAAGCTGAAGATAATCCCAAAATACGATCCTAGCAGGCCCGTGGAGCACCTGTGATTGACGCCCGAAACACTCCGTCCCTGCTTCCGAAGCCCTCTCCGGAATCTGATGTGCGCGACAAATATGGTTAGGTGGACGAACAGTATCGGAACCCCCCCAAAATCGACGGCATAGATCAGAAATAGTTCTGAAAGTTCTGAGAGGGCCAAATATCCAAGAAGTGCCGAGCAAGCGGCAATTCCGAGAGATACCAGGGGCCGTCCCTTACCATCTCGTAAGGCAAACAGATGCGGCGCCTGCTCTACAGCAGCAAGTGCCAACCCAGCTCTAGATGCTCCAAAAACAGCCGAAAGGATTGCCGAAAGCTGTGCAGTAACGCTATAAAGTCGCAATAACGCTAATGCGATAGGAGGCGCATTGTGAGTTCCTATCGAAATTGCAATAGGGGATGCGCTCACTCCATAGTCCGGAGAGCTGTCGAGCAGTCGAAAGTCTGTAAATGGGACTTCAATCCCAGTAGCGACAACATTGAAGATGCGCAGAGTTGTGAGAGTCCAAAACAAGGCCCGGGAGCCTGACCGGAGTCTATTTGGCGGCGAACGTGATTCTTGGGCACCAAGGCTGAGAATATCGAGCCCGCTAGGACTGGTACCGGAGAAGAACAATGCCCCAGCCGCGCCAAAAAGACCACCATTAAATGCACCTGGTCTTTTCCAATACTGGAATGGTTTGTACTCTCTTGGTAGGTCCTTTTTACTGGCAAGAGATACCGCGAAGAGCCTACTTTAGGGTCAGCATTTAATTCACACTTAAGAAAACACCACGACAACGAACCCTAGGCTTGTGATAACAATGAGCTTAGTAAGTCCTAATAGAGCGGAAATCCGGATGAAATGTATACTTCCAGAGAGGAACGTTGCAGAGAGTGCAACCATAAATGTGCTAAGCCACACTGCAATGTTAATGGATGGGAGGAAGGCTTTCATCATTTTGGCGGCCACGATGATGTCGAGAGGAATTATCGTGAAACAGTGGAAGATATAGATCCATCCGACCGTGAAAGCCCACGCCGGATCGATATAACGGTACGCGAAACAAATGAAGGAACCCGATGGGTGGTAGACCATCATCTCCAGCAGAGAGTCCAGGGCGCAGTATAGCATGATACATGAAAGTACTTCTGTTGATAGGAGGGAAGCTGGACCTCCTGCGGCCAGGGCCTTTCCACAGGAGAGAAAGAGCCTACTATCTATGAAAATGTTAGATCGTCTTCGCCGCGCCTGTTGGTTAGAACAGTACCGATCGCTGAGCTCAACGCAACCGACAATAAGTAGCGGTATTTCAGTATCCGATGACCGGCGTTTTCGGAAAGACTTAGTAGATGAAGAAGCCACTGCATGATAGGAGTCGATACGCCCGTGTTTGAAAGTGTGAACTCGTAGATTGGGGGAAAGATGAAGCGATGAAATCTTAGAATAGGTTTTCGAGAATGTTACAGCAGATATAGGTAAGCTGAACGTTACTAAACAGAACTCTTCAGAACCACGTAGGTCTATGTACTGCACAATGCCTTAATAGTCTCCTTTTTGGCTACCAAGAAGCGACATCCCTGACTAGTGACTACTCGCGTCTCAAGCATTCCAGTCTCTACTCGCTTCCGCTTGTCCGCTTCCTTTTTCTACGAATCTACTTTAACTCTACTCTCTGTCTTTTGTAGAGCCTTCTGTACTAACTCTCTTCCTTTTAGCTTCGCTCCCTTCTTTTTGTCGAGTGAGCCGCTACTCTACCTTAACTTCTTCCCCTTCTCTTCTTTCACCCGCCTATTTCTTTACGTAAACCTTCTGTTAGTCCAAATTTACACTCTTGTATCTCTCCTGGGCTTTCCTATCAATCCTACGCTATACGCACTATATATCCACTTTGATCCACCCCAAGGACGACTTCCCTTTTTATAGATATAGTAATAGTACCACTAGTGATAAATCCTTACAGGGGGAGAGTTCCGAAGAACGTAGACCACATGGTCAACTTATTAAGGGGATAGATTTAACCTTGAACATCGAGCGTACCTGTAGCCGTAGGTTAGACGTAGTCGATCAGGAAAGCGCCTACGCGACCTAAGTATCTCTTCCAAACGTTGATAGCTAGATCGCTTTCTTACACTGCAGATATTTGGTGATGACTCAGTGTAAGCGATCGCTTGCCGACAACGTCGACACGGGTAATTTGCGTATCAATATGGAGCCGCTAAGGGAACACCTAGTGAAGGGGGGTTCGCGGATTTACACAATAGAGGCGTGCAACAAAAGTTCTATCTTAGCTCTGTGGTAGCGAATGGAATGGGGTAGATATAGGAGGATCTTGTGCTCACATCACCATGCACGGCTCACTACGTCGAGATGTCGACTTAGTAATTATGTTTCTGTAAATAGATCACAGGTTGGAATATTTTTCTTCACTCTAGAGTACTTTTAATAGAGATTGCAACTATTAAAAAAAGAATACCTTGTTCGACACAACTATTTTTATCCGCACCCTTTCTACGATATATTTATATTGTCTTCCCTCTTTCGTACCTTCAAACGAAGCACATCCTTCACCTTCGCCAATTAAACAGCCTTGTGATATAAGCAATGAGTCTACGTTGGTTTACTACGCGGTGGAACTCCCAGGGTCCTAATATTTGGGCTCAAGCAACTACATATGAACAGGTTTTACGCCTTAACCGTCGGTTTCTGAGAGGAGAACTGTCTAGCTCCCCTACTCACTGTGCACCAATCGACGAGGAAACTTTACCATTAATCCCTCGCCTCTTACAGATGCACGAGTACGGGTTCCTGACGACCAATAGCCAACCAAGCACCCGCGACCAGGCTGGAAACCTCGAGATAGAATCAAGGGGATACATTAATTTTTTATTACCTACGAAAGGGAAAATCAAGCAGAGCTTAGTCACAAGGTTCTGCGAAGAACTTCTGAAATTAGAGCAAATCATCGTTGTTATCCAGAAGAGAGATGGTACGATGGTGAAGAATAATCAGCATACCAGAACGTTGCCTCTTCATCGAAGCCGTAGCGGAAGGTCAGCAGCTTGGGTAGAAAGCTTCGAAACATCTTTTACTCGGGATGAAGCGGACGAAGACGTACAGCTCTTTGATGAAGCGCATTGTTACCCTATCTCACAAGCGGAGCCGTTATGTGTCTTTATAGCAACTCGAAGATTTAATGTTAGTTTTTCTCTCGAAGAACTAGTCATCAATTGCGCTAGGCAATGTGGTATCTCTCCACTATACAAGACTAATGCGTATAGGAAGGGTTGGTGGTTAGCGCGACAAATACGTCACATTTGCTCCCGAGGGCACCGGGCGATCTAAGGTGCGTGAGGAGTGGTGGGGACTTGCTATTGAAAGCTTTCTAAATTGTTAGGTACTGTACCTTGGGCGGGCGACAAGCGATATCCGTCTTGAGGGGGTGGTGTTTTGTTGGGAGAGTTTCTAGCCCTCTTACCGTGGGTTACGTATCAGTGTAATTTTAGTTTTTGTTATGCATTTTAGACGGATAGGAAGCCTGCTGACATCTAGTGCTCCTTCTCAGGCTGCTTATGAAAGTGTAAAATCCGTCGTAGTAGTATATAACGCTGCGATCGATATAGACTCCTACTTAACTAGTTTCTAGCTTGGCTACATTTTCAAGACTCTAGTCCCCCGCTCGAAGCATTAGCGAAATTATTATTCGGCCTTAATAACTTCGTCTATACATTGTAAGCATAATGCTTTCTGCAGCGGGAATACGCCTCCGGCTTACAGCAACTATCGCCCTCATCACTATCGTCTTATTTTTCGCCTCCTTTCGAGTGCTTAACCCTGAAGCTCACGAACTTTTTGAGCTTCAAGAGGATATTCCTCCGATACTTGATCACGCGCAAGCGAAGTCTACCGTCAAATCGAGCCAAAATTCTGAGTCAATCTATGAGATATACAATGAGACCTTGGGTTTTCAAAAGATATATATGATCTCCCTTCCAGAACGGACGGATAAGCAAGATACCTTTGCTATGCAGGCGGCGTTTTCTGAAATCTCATATATCCTTGCGGATGGAGTACACGGCGACAAAGTCCCTGCGAAAGCGTTACCACACGTATATCTACCTTAGAAACCCACTACTTGATAATTGCTAACACTTACAGACAATGAGTCAGAAGGCAAATGTCATTGGGTGTTGGCGTGCACATCTTAATGTCTATCAGAAGATAGTGCATGAAAGAGTGTCTACCGCCTTAGTCTTCGAAGACGATGCCGACTGGGATGTGGCATTAAAGCACCAACTCGTGCAATTCGCTCGAGGTTCAAGATTCCTCGCGGACACCGTCGAAGGAGACCTAGCACACTCTCCATATGGCGATGACTGGGATATGCTTTGGATCGGCCATTGCGGTACCTGGGTATTACCAGACAAGAACCGTCGATTCTTCGTCATCCCTAGCGATCCTACCGTTCTACCACCTCAGTTACGGGAAGATAACGTGGCAAAGCCAGACATGAGCCGCTGGCGTACCAACCCTGACGGCGGCGAACAGACAAGAATAGTCTTCCATTCAGAAGGCGCTGTGTGTACCTCTGCGTACGCTATCTCCCAAAAGGGCGCACGCAAAGCTATCTATTATTTATCTATGGTCCCCTATAACGCTCCGGTCGACTGGGGGCTTGCTAACCTCTGTAAGAATAAAGAACACAATTTTAAGTGTGTATCGTCATGGCCTCAGCTTGTTGGCGTCTCTAGACCTACATCAAACACCGCTAAATGGAGCGATATCGATTCCCCCCCGGACTCAGAGAGCACAGCTCAGGACGGACATTCGTATCATCTCATGTACTCAGCACGACAAAACCTACAGCATTGGCTCAATGGGACGAGAATCTTTGAGAGTCAATACCCTGACATCGCACCGCCAATGGGAATTAGCGATATTGGTAAAGCGATAGGTTACCCCGAGATTCTGGTGGGATAATGAAACAGAGAAGGATGAAGAATCTCGGGGAATGAAGGTAACAACTTATATAACTCGGTTCACTATGACATGGAGGTACACCAGCTAGAAGGACATTACGATATCATCAACTTTAGAAAGGTGGTATCGATCAGTCAGGTGATGGTGTTTAGTCTTGCACATTGGGACTCGCGAAGCCATAAGGAACTAGTAATTCTTCTTGCTATATGTTTAGTAGATAACCTAAAAAGTTCACCGCGCCTCATATGATACTCTCAGCTCTCGTACTATTACAGTACCTTCAATCGCAGCTACGATACCCTAATATATAACATTTGTCTTGCTTCTGAAACCATTCATTTTTCCTGTTTACAGGTCAAACTTGTCTGCTGAACGTATTGGCGCCGGTCTGCAAAATGCTTACCGACCCTAGCCTCGTCGACCTCCTATGGCTGTACGACTATCGCCCGCCCGCTTCGCACTCTTAGATCGTCGGTCGCTATCTTTTTGATTTGTATCGCGGGTCTGGACCACGTACCAGCGGGACTTGATTGCTGCCTTTGTTCGATCTGGAAATTTTCTGTAGATCCAGGGCCACGGCTTGCCATCGCGTCTCCACTTAATCAAGTTTTTGTCGTCCGTCTCCTGCCAACCTCCACGCTTGATTCCGCGTGTTCGAACCCTAGGTTCGTCATCGGAAGAGTAATGGTGAATACTGTTTATACTGCTCGAGGAGTCGTCGCTGTCGGCGCTTGAAGTGAAGGCCTCGGTATCGAAGCCGGGGTCTGTAGTCACCTGTGTAGGACCCAGAGTCCGGGAGAACGTGGCAGTTACTTGCCATTGTTGTGGCGTGTGAGGTTTGATAGTGGCGTTAACAAGCTTGGTCATGGAGAAGAGATCTCCTGTGATCCCCCAGGCCAGCGGGGATTTCAGTAGCGCCCCGATCTCAGTTATATCGGCGAGAAGGACTGTCAGAACCGCTGCTTCGGTCGACATCACCGGTGTAATGTTGGAATTCAGTAGCATCGGTGAATCGTAGGCCGCCTCTATACCATCGTTGCGGAGGATACCCACAGTAGCATTGACTTTCTGGTTGTCCTCTGCATCCCGGAAGAGCACCGGCATCGTTGATTGTGAGTGAGTGCCGGCGGAGCTCGTACGACCGCCATTTCGTAACTTCCGCTTCGGATTACCGATAGCTTTCGACGTCCCTGATAACCGCCGTGCTCGTTGCCTTTGCCTCTGCTTTACGGCCCTAGCCGAGGCTGCCTTAGCGTCGCCATCGTAGCTGGCGTCGGAGTCACTGTCGCTTGGCCAATCGTCAGGTGAGGCCTTTGCTTGATTCGTCGATCTGAACGGTTGATTGCGTTTGGGGAGTCCGCCAACCATTGTTGAGCCGCTACGTTTCGTTCGCAGAGGTGGATGATCAACCTGATGACCAAGTGGTCGACCTCTTACCCCCACCGTACACTGAGGTGGTTTTATAGTTGTGGAAGCCATAGGTAGATCCACTTGTGGGCGGGGTTGCCCGAGTCGGCTGGGGCTAGTTGGTGGCACTACTCGAGGTCTCGATACTGCTGACGGAAGCGCGTCCCGTCTCAGCTCAGAGTGACTCTTTTGAGAATAGGCATTATCCGCTGTATTTCCGGGAATAGGATCGGTCGGGAATATATCGTCGTATATTGACCCTGGCTCCTCGCTCCGTAGCTGCTGGCCGACTCGGCCTTGAGGACGCTTGTCGTCATCTGATTGGGCGCTACCGGTTGAGGCATTCTCCTCACGTATATCACCGGCGTTGCTGGGGTTCGTATTATCCACTCCTAAATCTATTAGCACTTTGGCAGATCAATAGGTTACTCGTTCACGTACCTAGATCGCTCTTTGCCATAGGACTTGAAGCCGACCGTGACGGGATCCACTGTTGGAGAACCATCTTGTCGGTATGGGCTGTGTACCCTAAGGCGGATGGTTGAGACTCTTCAATTTCGACTTCGCTTAGGGCACTCTCATCGGGAATCACTTCATAGTCAGGCCTTTCTGCTGTAAAAAAAAGGGAGAAAGTTAGTCGATAAGTCTCAGAATTAAGGAGCTCTATCGGAGAGGTATGTATATCCTTACCAGTAAAATCCAAGTCTGCCAAGGCGTTATCTGGTGTCGACGGCAAAGATACTTCCCCCGCGCTGTCGAGAGAAGTAGCGTCGGCCAGCTCCGGAGTCGCGCGTTGATTTTGTGGATGGTCGAATTCGTCGAAGCAACTGTTAGGTGCGAGGTCTGGGAGAGAGTATTTCTCAGGGAGCGTTCCCTGTTGCCGCGAAGTATGGGTTCGCCTTGGTTTTGGGCATGGAGGGCCTCTGTATTGGATGATGTCGAATGGCGTAACCGCCGGTGTCACTTTGAAAGTCGAATTCATTGCAATGGAGGATGAGTAACCTGCGCAGTGATTCTCGCGTCTGAGAAGGGGGAGTAGTAGTGCCCTTTTATGGCCGGCACACAAAAGCTGCGCCGCTCCGCTCGTGAGCATCTCTGCCTGCCTGAAATAGGGGACGTAGTATTCCACATCGGGCCAACATCCGCCTGCTCTAGTCCAACATTCCCCCTCATTTGGCCCCTGAGCCTGCCCCCTGGACGACGGCGGCGGAGTGGTTCGCGCGTGTCGACAATCCGATCCCCAAATTCGACATATTCCCGCACGGGTAGGTCATACCCCTTGTCGAGGAAGAAGTATGCCGCTTTCAGAGAGGTCATCACCTCCAACCTAGTCGCACCAGTGGATTACCCGTCGTGGGAGTAGTGTTACCTGATCTGTTAACCCTAGGCCCTGGATTCGTCCGTTGTTCCAAACCGCGAGGCAGATTTGATGTTGTCGAATAGAATCTGGTGGAAAGATCGTCTCCGTAGATGGTGTCATGACGGCCACAGTAGTGTTCCGGACTACCGAGCACCACTTCTTCCCCTGTCCTCAAACTTGGCTCATGGACGGGACACGGGGTGCTCCGAGTCTGCCTTGACTCCGTTGACTGGTCTCTGCTCGGGCACGGTTAGCTGGCCCCATTCTGACTGGGTTGGTGTGAGAACAACAGCACATGGCTCGGTCAATTTCGAAGCCGGTAAGGGGCAGGACGGGGCCCGACGTGAAAGGAAACCCTTACAGAGAGGATCTGTCCGTATCGACGCGCACCCACTTAGGAGCCTTCTCGGAGGACGGCCTTTAGGTATCCGGAGGAGAGACTGGGCTGGAACGTGTCGCTGGAAGCAAGCATCGACTGCCCCAACCTGACACACTCCCCCATTCTGTAAGTGAGAGTCTGACTTGAGGTGGAACGACCCAATTTTCCGTCAAAGGATCATCCGGGACTCGATTTGGCCGATTGAATTACCTCTTGAGGTACCCTGCCTACCTGATGTGTGCCGGTGCCGGTTCCTCAACTTGCCTTGAGGCTGGGTATTGAGGTAGGGTTGGGTCTCGACCCATAGGGTCTTTCGAGACCCCCTTGGAAGCCGCCAGGCTCCGTACTCTCCAACTTTCATCTGACCTGAGGCAACGGATTGGATGCTAGGACGTAGTACAGCTGCAGCTCAGCTCCGACCGACTTCACTCGAGGTGAGTAGTGCCGGAGATTTCACCATATTCGAAGTTGGTCAAGGAACCCTAGACACCATAACGTCGTATTGAGCCCCTGCGGCGGAGATCCATAGACCTCGACGCGTAGACGTCCCAGTCCTCGAGTCACGCGAAATCCCAGGATTAGTGCGTGAGTCGAGAGAGCGCCGTTGAGAAGCTAGGGCCGTCTGGTGGTCAGGAGGACCAACCGTTAAAACACCGGGTCCCGCCGGACCTTGAAGGATTTGCGTAGCGCCGACAGACTTCAGCACGTATACCCATGGTTGACGTCAAGTTTCGCTAGATAACCGGCAAGACACTGTCTAATCCCCCAGCCTTCGTCACTCGGGATCGGCAGGAATGTAGTGAGACACTCAGGAGGCAAGCCTTTGGGCGGGACGTGAGAAGAGTGACTCATAACGGCGCGGTCCAATTCAAGGGGCCATTGAATCTCGGAAGCAGCAGCGACCAACGCAAGCCCAAGGAATCAGCCTCCTCTAGGCAACAGGGTAACCTACCCTCAGTGCGTCTACCGACACTGGTTCGTGGACGCCAGGGGGGACAGGGTCGCGTTCGTTCTAGCCCTCGAAGAAGGCGGGAAGTCGATTTCAGGAGAGGGATAGGGTGATGTCGTCTTCAGCCGGGATCCAGAGGTCCTGAAGTCGGAAGGGAGCTGGAAGGTGGAAGCTAGAAAACTAGGCCTGGCTCCGCCCTTTCCTCGGTAGATAGGGCGACGAGATTGGGGGAGTTAGAGAAGGACGCCGAGGGGACGGAGAAGGGGGGGAGGTCCTCGTAAAGGTCAACTTACAGTAGGAGGATGTAGGTGGGCGTTACGCGTCCACGGACGGACGGAGGAGAGATAGGGATGTTGGGAGGTTAGTGGGCGCCTAGCTCACTGTAAGGATCTAGGCATACGATGTCGTATGAGCCGAAGACCTAGGGTGAGGAGGTCAGGGTGAGGTATGAGGAGCGAAGGTCAGGAGGGAGAGATGAGACTGAGAGGAGAGGGGAGTCAGGAGGGTATTTTATAGCGGCGGCCGTCACCAGCCACGCGCGAAACCAAATGCGGGAGACTCGGTTTCCCGAAGCGTCTGCACCACCAACAAAATAACTACAACTATAGAAGAAGAGGGTGAAGAGGATCTAAAAAATAAGTAGCTTCTGATAAAAGTCGCCATTAGTATTATGAACCGACCATATGGGAGGCTAAGGGGAAAGATAAGGAGGAAGGTTAACTAAGGAGAATAAGTCAGATATTAGTATCTTAGTAAATATATTAGCATAATCTAGCGGAGTAATAGAGTAATATACCTAGGTAGGCTTAGAAATATATTAATATATTTAATATATCTAATAGAGTAATATATTAAATATATATCCTAAGTAGTATATAGCCGCACTTAGTTATATAGTTCTCCTCGTAGTTAATAATAGTTATATAGAATTAAGTTCCTCACGATTATCTACTATACGTATAGATCTATATACTATATACTTAGTTTCTAGTCTTAGCTATAGCGTCCCTCCCTACTATATTACTAAGTAAATCACTATAGGTTTACCTATAGATACCTTACGTATTATATAGTAGCTTATAATATATTAACTACTAGCTTAGATAGTAGCGGACTTAATAATAATATCTAGTAGCTCTAATCCTAAGTCGCCTAAGCCTAGACTTACTTAATAATCTAATACCTCTACTATAAGTATTACTACTTTAACTATTAATAATATAGAGGCTAGAAAGATAAAGGATAACCTTAAGGTTAAATAGTACTATAGAGATAGAAGTAAACTTAGTATATATCTTATATAGTTAAAGGCGGTATTTACCTTATAACGTACTAAATACTCTACCTATATAGAAAAAGTTTTATTTATAGGACTCTAGCTCTATAGGTTAGCGTTCGAGTGATTTAAACCTATTATAGGGGATTACCTTAGCTCTATACTAGTATAGCGAAGTCTAGAGATAAATGAAATCTTTAGAAACTTCTTAGTTTTTGAAGAAAGAATTAAGTAAATCTTTAGGATACTAAAAGAGGAATAGTTAGTAGTCTAGAGGATCTATTAACTTAAGTAGATAGGATCTACTACGCGATATTATACTATATTCTAACGCTATACTTCGAAACTAGATTAGGAAGATAAAGCTTTCGCCTTAGCCTATTATTAGGAGCTAAAGGATTCAGTTAAAGATAGAATAGGGATAGATTATCCTAATAAGTATAAATCGCTCGTTAAACTCTCTATCGAGACTAATAACTAGTTATATAAATACTAAATAGAAAGAAAAGGGACTTTTATAGGGGGTATAACTTATAAGAATAAATAATACTACGGAGAACTAATAGACTTAGATATAATCTAACGTAGTAGTTCTACTCACTAGAAAGTACAAGGAGGATAACCTAAGGTTAGGAACGATAAGTCTTGTAGATTACTATAGTTAGAGCGAGAGAAACGTAAGAAAAATAATCTATACTATAGATACGGAAAATCCGGACATCGTATAAAAGATTATAAGAATGGTCTAACGCTATATATAATAGATAACGGTATAGTTAGTTATGAAGAAATAAAGGCTAATACTTTATAGAGAGCTTAAAAGGTAGCTAATAGCTAGAGTAATATAGTATAGAAGGACTACCTAAGTATAGAATCTCAAAAGGAGATAGGTAGATCTAAATAAGATATAAAACCTAAGGAGGAAGCTACCTTAGAAGAACGGGAACGATAAGAAGAACTATAGTATTAGCTCTTATTATAGATAGCGTACTACGACGATAGATATATAACTTACTACTTAGAAAAGATTAGGAGTAGATAGTTTCTAAAATAATAAAGAAGAGTAGTAAGATAAGCTAATAAGCTAAAGCGTTAGGAGGTATTTAGGGCTAATTACGAGAATACTAATAACGAATAAGGATTCTAGATAATATATACACTAGAACTAGAAGAATCTACTATATTTATCGTAATTAAATATAATAATAAGGAAATAATAATAATCATACTCTACTAGAGATTATTAAAATACTAGTATAAAGATAATTACGGACTAAAAGTAGAGTACCTTTATCTTATATTTAATCTAGGGTAGCTAGCTAACGAACTAGTTTTAATTATAATAGAAATCTACTAGACTATAGAGGTAGGATATACTATTCCGGGGATACATTCGTATATAAGAAAAGGTAATAAAGCGTTTATAATACTAATTATACTACTATAAGAATAGAGCCTTAATATAATAATAGTACTAGAAGGCACTAGAATAGTGTAACTAGTCTATACTTATAAAAGATACTAAGACTACTAAGTAGTCGCGTATATTAGAGAGGCGTAGACTAATATAGGAGAATTATATAATAATATCGACTCGCTTATAGATTACTAACTAATATATATACTTTATAATAGTTACGTAAATAATAATATTATTATTTAAGAACTAAATAAGAACCTTATACTAGGGGAGGATACTATATACTAATAGTATATAGTACTAGAAAGTGATAAGTACGATATCGAGATCGCTACTAACTTCTAGAAGATAGATAACTATGAGACTAAATATTACCTTAATATACTATACTAATATATAGTTTATAACTCCTTTAGGTTACTATAGTCACTACTTAAGAAAATTAATATAAAATAGTACTAGAACTAAGAGTATGAATATAAAGAAGATATATATATTTATTAACTAATAGAACTAGTAATAGTTAAAATAAGACTTCTAGAGAGGACTATAAAGAGAATTATTACTAAAAGAAATAAACTTAAAGAAGTATAGCGAGAAAAAGGAGTTATTCTTAAACTAATTCTATCAATATTAGGACTCTTAAGGAATAGAAAGGTAATTAACGAACGTAAAGATCTAGACTATTACTATAAAAGACTTTCATATAAAGATAAAGACTACTAATAGTAATACGGAGATTATTTATATTACTAGAACGTTAATCTAAGATAACTCTATATACTAATATCTAGAGGAGTCTACGTTAACCTTATAGAGGTAGACTAAATATATAATAAATAAGAATATTAATAGAGGAGAGAATTACACCTATATTATTAAGAAGATATACTAAATATAATGTTTATTAATAGTAATAACGGTAGAGGAGATCTATATAGACTATTTATTATTAAAGAAATAGTTAATAATAGAGTAGATGGAGATTTTATAGCGAATAATTTCTACTATCTAAACGAGGAAAAGTACGATATAAAGATAAGGTATTAATATATCTATAACGTTAACCTAGATATCGAAAATATCCTAATATACCCTAAGATATTTAAAATATTAGAGGAGTATTTCAATACTAAATACTAATAGAACGGAGAGTAATATATATACTAACTAAAAAACTTATAAGTAACGACTTAATAAGGTGGAGGAGTTATAATAATAATCTAAGAGTTAGAAAGCCTTAGGAGTTAAGAGAAATAACTATATTAGATAATCGCTACGTAGCCCTTATAGTAGAATTAGCGAATATTTAGATTACTATCATAATTAACTTAGGAGCTAACCGGAGCTATATAAGTACGACTATAGTTAGGAAACTATATAAATATAAAGCGAGGAAAAGACTTCTATACCCCTTAAAGATAGTAGATAGACAACTATTAAGATAGATAATAATAGAAATGAAAAACGTTCTATTAATGATTATGAAATACGAGGAAATAATAAATCTAGATATAATAGATATCCTAGGATATAATATAGTTTTAGGAATAGACTAGCTTTAAAAACATAACCTAACTATTAATTAGTAAATAAGGATAGTAATATTTACAAAATATAGTACCGTATAAAGGGAGGACCGATTATCCTTAAAGGCTCTAAAAAGAACGATTTTAGTGCGACTAATAGAATATATACTAACTAACTTTAGTATTAGGGAGATACTATTAGAATATAAAGACTTTAAAGATCTCGCTAAAGAAAGAGAAGGTAACGTAGTCTTACTAGAACATAAACTATAAGATTATAAGATACCCTTAGAAGAAGAAAATAATCTAGAATACTACGTATAACTAATTCTAATATCTAAAAAAGAAGAAGACTTCCTTAAAGAGTATATTAATAAATATCTTATAAAAGAGTTTATTAGATCTTTAAAGTCGAAAGTAGCTTATGTAGTACTCTTTATACTAAAAAAGGACGAGGGATTAAGACTATATATTAACTATAGACGCCTTAACGCGATAATAAAGAAAAATCAATATCTAATACTAAGAATCGATAAATTATAGGACTATCTCTTAGGAGCTAAATAGTTCTTAGTAATTAACGTTAGAGACGCCTACTATAGGGTAAGAATAAAGGAAGGAGAAGAGTAGAAGACGGCGTTTAGGACTAGATAGGGTCTATATAAGTATTAGGTAATACCCTTTAGACTAACTAACGTACTAACTACCTTCTAAGAACTTATTAACGATACCCTAAGAGAATACTTAGATAAGTTTATCGTTACCTACTTAGACGATATCCTTATATTTTCAAAAACATATAATAAGTATATCTAATACGTACGGAAAGTCCTATAAGTACTAAGAGAGAAGGATCTACTAATTAAATTAAGTAAATGCGAATTCTATATATATATAATAGTATTCCTAGGCTATATCATATTATTATAAGGACTAGCGCTAAACCCTAATAAAGTTTAGGCTATTAATAACTAACCTATACTAATAAGTATAAAAGAAGTATAATAGTTCTTAGGTCTTATTAACTACTATAGGAGGTTTATCTGAGGATTTTTAAGAATTACGATATCCCTAATAAATTTAATAAAGAAAGACTATATCTTTAACTAGGACGATAAATGCAAATATACCTTTAAGGGACTAAAGGGATAGATAACCTCTATACCTATCCTTATATTATTTAACCTAGAAAAGGAGTTAATACTCGAAACTAATATATTAGACGAGATAATAGG